ATTCTCAGTATACATAAATATTATTATAAAAAATATTAGGGGGAATCAAGAATATTGCGGCTTGCTGCTGTTTGTTTCTCATGTGCAAACATGTCTGGTACGAGATAACCTGCTACGTTAGCCAACTATGTTAAGAAGAAGTTTCACATGGCCAAAACATAAAAGTTCGCTTAATCATATCAAACTTGAGAATTTAGTAATTTGATCATAAAAATCATGACCTGTAATAAAAATTAATCATTGGATTGGATGTCTAATTAAGCTAGATCGAAATGTATCATAGTTTAATGCTGATTTCTTTCTATGAATATTATCTAAATGTTACCAGTAATTTTACAACAACTTATGTTAATATTCTCGGTTTCTGGTAATTGTCAACTGTGAAGTACACACGCAAAATGAAAAGAAAATTAAAAGAGTATTATTATTTTTTTTTTAATAGTTGAATTTCAACCAAAAAATTCTTGAATTTAGTCGTAAATTTATGACCTCAATTTAATCTAGTGGATCGGACTATCAAAGTCAGTTTCATGAATTAATTGCAGAGGAAAACAATTGAATAGAAGGATAAGGGGAAAGTGGCCTGGGTTGATCATCTCTTCTTGCATTTGGAAAAAGTCAAAAAAAATAAGGAGTAATTCTACTATTTGCTGACAACAAGAAAATTCCATATATAAATAATGAAAGTTTGGAAAATACAAAATAGTATATTGAGGACACAGCGACCAATTTCACTCGAATTAAAACTAGAAGTAACTCATTCAACAGTAGTCAATAGGTGCTACGAGGTAAAAAGGGGTAAAAAATGAAGTAGCCTTATAGCTAATGGAAGGCAGAAAGAGGAACTAAGATCAAACCAGAAAGAGCTTTTTAAATATATATGGTGTCATTTTAGTCAGATTTAGATTTGGTATTTCACTTAGAAATACCATTTTTATTCTAAAGTTTATGGTATTTGGTTAGATTTTTTTTTTTTTATAAAAAAATTGGTTAGAAAACGATTACATATATTGAAAGGTAGGCCATATACATGTATGATGTATGGACAAGAAAAAAATAGATTTACGAACGTGTTTCGATCGAAAATAATATTATAGTAAATTCTAATTCTGTTTTTTTCTATATGTGGTTATTAAAACGATGTGTTATTTTCATTACGAAAAAAATGAATTACGAAATAAAATTTATCACATTTTTTTCTGATTTACCAAGTCCAAGTCTTCTAAATAGTTTCGGATACTAGTGTATCCATTTTTTTTTTGGGTTATGAAGTATACAAATTTTATTGCATGCACTCAAAATATCCGAGCCAATCAAGATAACATAATACATATACAAATCTTGATCTTTTTAGGGCATTGGACAAAAGAAAAAAAAGGTCAAACGGAAAAAGAGGAAGCTCAAAGTCTTTCTGCGTCTATGCGTATAATTCAAGTGTCATGCATGCATAATGCATTCTACATTTATGTTTTTGCCAAAAGAAAATGTAAAACACACAGCCAATTTTTTTTTGTCCACAAACACTTAACCAATTTTAATAGAAATTTTAGTATCCCCAATTTTACATAGGATAATACCTAAAATATTAGATTTGATCAGTTGAATACAGATAATCAAATAAAAAAAAAAATACATCGATTCGAGTAGTAGAAACATATATTGATATAGATATATATATATATATATCTTATTTTCCAAAAAACTGATTCCTACCAACCCTAGTTCATGTCTATAAATGTAAAAATCTAAACCCCCAACACACAAAAAAAAAGAACAAAACACAAAAAGTCAAAAAGTGAAGAAGAAAAAAACCCAAAGTCTTTCACTTCTCTTCTTAATCTCTGTTACTTTGGTTTAAGCGGCGTGTGTGTGTGCTCAAGTGTCGTGCATGCATTTTATGCGTTTCTTTCTCTCTATCCTTTTCTCTTGCATGCTCTCTCTCTATCCTCTTCTCTCTCTCTCTATCTGACCCATAATTTTAATTTTACATCGAAAAATTAAAAACTAAAAACCACCAAAGAAAAAAAAAAAACCTCGTTGCCTTCTTCTTCGCCGTTACAGTCCCCCCCTCTTTCTTCCAATTCGCCGTCAAATCCTTTTCTCTTCTTCTTCCCTCCGGTGATTCCTCAACCTCCTCTGATCTCTAACGCGACTTGATTTTGACCACGTCGATGCATGTTCATGACTAGTCTCTCCTCCAATTTCACGTCGATTTCACCTCCGATTCGTGCTTCCTGCTCTGTTAGGGTTTTAAGATTTGTCTAATTGAGGGTTCGGAGAATCGGGTCGGGTCTTGGGAAAAAAAAGGTTCTATTTTTTTCTCTGCCTGATGTTTGAAGTCAAAATGGGGTCAAAGATGTGCATGAACGCATCCTGTGGCTCGACCTCTACTGTTGAATGGAAGAAAGGTTGGCCTCTTCGATCCGGTGCTCTCGCTGATCTCTGTTATCGTTGCGGGTATCTCTCAATCTCTCTAATTTCTCATCAAATTCACGATTTTTATGTTTGTTTTTGAATAAAGTCTCGATCTTTAACTGTTTCGTTCTTAATATTAGTGATTCTCGCTCATTAATGGTGTGTGTGTGTGTGTGGTGTTCTGGTTTCTTAAATTCTTCATTAACCAATCCTGACTCTTTTTTTGTGATCTATAAATAGCTCTCAAATTTAAATACAGTAATAAGTGATTTTTGTTACAAAAAGAGGAACAAATATAAAGAATAATGAAGGTGTTTGATTGTTGTTTTATAGATCCGCTTATGAGAGTTCTCTTTTCTGCGAAACATTCCATATGGACCAATCTGGTTGGAGGGAATGCTATTTGTGCAGCAAGGTGCGTTTTTTTTTGTTTTGGTTTTAAAAAACTCTATTTTTAGTTTTTTTTTTTGTTTGTTTGTCTCTACAATGTTGGTTTGGTCTCTGATTGGGGAATTTCCTGCAATGACAGCGACTTCATTGTGGATGCATTGCTTCTAAGCTCATGGTCGAGCTTATGGACTATGGTGGTGTTGGTTGTACTACTTGTGCTAGCTGCCATCAACTCAATTTGGTGAGTTTTGACTCAATTTCTGTAATGACTCTGTGCTCTCTGTGTCAAGTTGTTGTTTGTAATGACTCTGTGCTCTCTGTGTCTTCACGTTTCTTTGTATTCTGCAGAATAAGAGAAGTGAGAATCCAGGTCTATTTAGCAGATTACCATTGAAGACGTTAGCAGAGAGGCAACATATAAATGGGGAAAGTGGAATGAGTATTGACGGAGGAAGAAACGAAGCTGATCTCTTTTCTCAGTCCCAAAGATGCGACTCTCAGCCACTAGTCCCGGGGGTAGATAAAAGAGAAGACTTCATGCCTCCTCACCGTGGCTTTGGTATTCTGAAGTCAGAAAACTCCACTGGGTATAGGCTGGACGCTGGGGAAATGCATGAATCGTCGCCTTTGCAGCCATCTTTGAATATGGCTTTGGCAGTACATCCTTATAGTCCATCTTTTGCTTCAACCCCTGTCGAGGGAAAGAAACACATCGGTCCTTCTCAGTCCCACATTGTTCAATGCTCTGCGTCTAGTATACTGCAGAAACCCTCGAAATCTGTCCTTGGAACTCCTCCTGGAACTAGTAAATCTGCTCAGGCTCGCATTGGGAGGCCTCCTGTGGAAGGGAGAGGGAAAGGCCATTTACTTCCTCGGTATTGGCCCAAGTATACTGATAAAGAGGTTCAACAGATCTCCGGAAAGTATCCTTTTTTTTTTTGCTTCTTTTTCTTTGCCAAACATTTTATTCTTGACACAGTTATGGTGACTCCATGTTTATCTTAACATTCTCTAGTTTGAATTTGAACATTGTACCTCTTTTTGAGAAAACTCTTAGTGCCAGTGATGCTGGTCGCATTGGTCGTCTAGTTCTTCCAAAAGCCTGTGCAGAGGTAACTTTCCCATTCCTTTGGTGTCTTTTCTCTTGTCCTTGATATATCTTGGAGAGTTAAGACTGTAACGGGCATTGTATGTAGGCATATTTTCCTCCCATTAGTCAATCGGAAGGGATACCTTTGAAAATCCAAGATGTGAGGGGTAAGGAGTGGACTTTCCAGTTCAGATTCTGGCCCAATAACAACAGTAGAATGTATGTCTTAGAAGGTGTCACTCCCTGCATACAGTCCATGATGCTACTTGCCGGTGATACAGGTATTGCTCATGTTTTAGCTAAAGCTTCATGCCTTGGTGAATTTTTTGGTATTAACATAAAGTGGCTCAATATATTGTTGGTTTTCTGCCTTCTCTGTACAGTAACATTCAGTCGGGTTGATCCTGGTGGCAAACTAATCATGGGTTCAAGGAAGGCAGCTCATAATACCGGAGACATGCAGGTTCTGGTTTCTATGAGCTGGTTTTTACAGGAATGTGCTGGTTTTTTGTGTTTCTTATCTGGATTTAATCTTTATAAACAGGGCTATGGTCTCACCAATGGTACTTCAAACGAGGACACATCATCGTCTGGTGTTACAGAGAACCCGTCCTCTATAAATGCTTCCTCGTGTCCCTCACAAATACCAGAAGAATTGAAAGGTCTGCCTGAGAATTTGAACGGTGGTAGTTGCTCGAAGAAGAGTGAGATTAATGGAGGCACGATGTGTGATGATCCACCACGTCCTAAGGACAAGAAGAGGACTCGAACCATTGGGGCGAAAAACAAGAGACTGCTTTTGCATAGTGAAGAATCTATGGAGCTGAGACTCACATGGGAAGAAGCTCAGGACTTGCTTCGTCCCGCTCCTAGTGCAAAGCCTACCATTGTCGTCATCGAGGAGCATGAATTTGAAGAATTTGACGTAAGTGGTAGATTTTGTTGATTCTCTTACAAACAATGAGTTTCATGTGATCAACTTTGTACTGAACTTCCCTCAGAAAAGTCACAGTTCTTGTTAATGTTTATGCTCAGGAACCTCCTGTATTTGGAAAGAGGACGATAATTACTTCAAGACCTTCAGGGTAACATATTATCTTCTTCTATAACTTACTTCCATACTTGCAGTTGGTGCTTACTGCTTACCATCAGCTTGGTAGAAATTTACTAACGAACATCGTTTGTTATTCAGTGAACAAGAACGATGGGCATCTTGCGACGACTGCTCTAAATGGAGAAGGTTACCTGTAGACGCTCTTCTTTCCGTAAAGTGGACTTGTTCAGACAACGTTTGGGACGTAAGCAGGTAAGAATTTTCAAAATTTTTTTTCCCTTGTATCTGCTTGAATCGAGGATCAGTTCAGAAATTCATTTACTTTTTCTTTTCTTGAGGTCTTGTTCCTGTAATTTTTATATACCATTGATAGGTGTTCATGTTCTGCACCGGAGGAAAGTCTGAAGGAACTTGAGAATGTTCTTAGAGCAGGGAAAGGTATGAAATCAACTATACTTTAGCCTCTCTTTGTTCCTCCTCATTAGCTCGTTGCATTAGTGTGAGAGAGACTGCTTCCAAGTATTACTGCGAGCATTTTATGGATGTGGTTTGAATCATAGTCTCAGGATATATCTCTTTTATCTGTGCTTGTTGTGCTATCCTTATGTTCGTAGATCTCGAAGTCTCAAAGACACTAACTTTCTTGTTTATATATTTTAGATTGCAAGAAGAGAAGAATTGGGGTAAGCCAGACAGCAAAAACTGGGCAAGAACCGTCTGGTCTGGATGCACTAGCGAGTGCAGCAGTCTTAGGAGACGCTTTAGGCGAGCCAGAGGTTGCGACCACGACCAGGCATCCAAGGCACAGGGTTGGATGCTCTTGCATTGTGTGCATTCAGCCGCCAAGTGGGAAAGGTAGGCACAAGCCCAACTGTGGCTGCAACGTGTGCAGCACAGTGAGGAGAAGGTTCAAAACACTGATGATGAGGAGGAAGAAGAAGCAGTTAGAGCGCGACGGACCAGCAGCAGCAGCAGCAGAAGACCAGGAGAACGCGGAAGCGAAACAGGGCGACTCTGATAAGAGTAAGGCAGAGGAGGAAGTGAAAACAGGGAGGATAGATCTGAACAGTGATCCATATAACAGAGAAGACATTGAAGCTGTGGCGGTGGAGAAAGAAGGGAGTGAAGGAAGAGAAGTAGGGCAGTGTTCAGGCGTGGCTCAAGGCGGTGATGTTTTAGGAGTAACAGAGTTAGTAGGAGAAGCTGAGAAAATCAGTGAAGAGCCGAAAGGTTCAAGCTGATATATGGAAAACAGTACAAGAAGATACTTATCTGAAGATGTCCTCTAAAACAACACCAAGAGGAGAAGAAGAAGAGAGTGAGAGAGGTACAGTTTTGTGTTTTGACTGTGTCATAGTTTTAGGCAGAAATAAGCTTCTGGTTCAAAAGAACAACAATGGGCCATCTTTATGCTATTTTTTTTTCTTGGTTTTTATGTTTTGTGGGTGAGTTTGGGTTTAGGGTTTTAGTTTGTCTCCATTAATATGGGTTTTTGTAGAAGGCAAAATGGAGCGTTGGTGTTTGGTGATGAAACAAACAATTGATTTTTTTTTTTTTCAACTGCTCATGGAAAGCATTAGGTTTAAAAATCAAAATTAAGATCCCTTTTCTTCAAAAAAATCAGTGTCTAAAATCTTCTGTTAAATTACATAAAATTGTGGTAGAAGAGGACATGGCATATGCATGAATGTTGTGAAAGTTGATGAAGACTGAATGCAATAGACTTGTAATCATAACTGTATTAGGAGAGATTAATTAAGAAGTTAAATAAAATCATATCATACTACAAGACTTGTAACATTTTGGATAAAGAATTGGAATTTACCACAACAGGAAGTACTTTTCCGATAGTGAAAAGTGAAAAGTGAAAACCAACAATTCCGAATAGTCAATTCAAAAGAAAACGACAATCTGTTCCTGTAGTTTTTCATATTTACGATTTGAGCCCCATTATTAATGTTAATTTACAGGTAGGGCCCATTAACATAAAAGGAACGAGAACTATCGTCGTCTTCCTTGGCGTTTCCTCTCTCTCTCTCTCTCTCTCTCTCTCTCTCTCTCTCTCTCTCTCTCTCTCTCTCTCTCTCTCTCTCACTATTTTCTGCTGTATGGTGCTGAGTGCTGACCTTCAAATTACTAAAATAGGTTTCTCTATTCACAACACACAAATCATTATGAATCTCTTCTCCTCCGTCGAACCTTGATTTCTCTCTGGCAACTCTAATTCTCTTGAGGTCTCTCTCCATTTCTTTCTCTTCTCCTGAATTTCCGGTAAACAACTTGCTTATCTTCATCTCACATCGGTAGATCTAGGGTTTATGGCTTCTGGATTTTGATAAATCTTCCTTGTTACTATATCTCCATTGTTGTAGCTGAGCTCCTCCTGCTTCGATTCTCTCGCATTTCTCTACAGTTTTGCGCGAATGAGGTTTTCACTTTCTCTGGATCGCTCCTATATAATTTTTCTTGTACGTTAACTGGCTAGTCTTTGATGAATCTTTGTATATATTTGGGTGGTTTCTTTAGGTCATCGTAGATTTTGATTGAAGAGCTGAGAGAGGAAAATATGAGCGAGGGGCAGAAGTTCCCGTTGGGAACAATCAGCGCTTTGAGTTTGTCCGTTGTGTCCTCTGTTTCTATCGTCATCTGTAACAAGGCCCTTATTAGCACCCTTGGCTTCACATTTGGTAAGGCTATATCTCCACAATGAGAAAACTGGTTTCTTGATTGTAGATAGTTGGAATATACAGTGTGGCTTTGAATCTCATAATCTTCTCTGTGTTGCTTTTATTGATCAATCCAGCGACCACTTTGACAAGCTGGCATCTTTTGGTCACGTTCTGTTCACTTCATGTGGCATTGTGGATGAAGTTTTTTGAGCACAAGCCTTTTGATCCCCGAGCTGTGATGGGATTTGGTATATTGAATGGAATATCCATTGGTTTGTTGAATCTCAGCTTGGGTTTTAATTCTGTTGGTTTTTACCAGGTTCATCATTTTTTTTTTCTTGTTGGCCGTTCCACCAGCTGATATCATGTTCTTAACCTCGTTGTTCTAAACATGTCGTCACTTCCCTTGATATCAGATGACAAAACTAGCAATCATCCCCTGTACTGTTTTCTTAGAGACCATATTCTTCAGAAAGAAATTCAGGTTAGCACTCTAATAAGTAGTACATTTGTCTCTCTATGATAATTGGTAGTCTTGGAGATAAATGTATTGTGGTTTGGTTTAGAAATTGCTTGGGGCCATGCTTCTAAGTAGTACGTCTGTCTTCCAGTAGTTTATTTTGGTTCACTGTAGAATGGTTTAGAACCTTAGAAACTTTCCTTTGTTTGATGGTTCCATTAGTTCATCAAACGATTTTCTGGCCAAAACACCTAATGATCCACATATTTCATTTGCAGTCGAAAAATCCAGTTTTCATTAGTCATCCTTCTCCTTGGTGTCGGAATTGCAACCGTAACAGATCTTCAGCTTAATATGCTGGGTTCTGTCTTGTCGCTGCTGGCTGTTATCACTACTTGTGTTGCCCAAATTGTATCCTATACTTATCTTCTATTTCTCTCCTTCCAATACGTCTTGTATTAGCCAGTGGTTCAGCTAAATAGTAGTCCTTGTTCAATTCGTTATCTTTAACCAAAGATATACAGATGACCAATACGATCCAGAAGAAATTCAAGGTTTCATCCACCCAGCTTCTGTATCAGTCTTGCCCATATCAAGCGATCACTCTTTTTGTAACTGGGCCATTTTTAGATGGTCTCTTAACCAACCAGAACGTGTTTGCTTTCAAGTACACCTCTCAAGTCCTGGTGAGAACCAAGCAAGTATTTGTGGAATTGGTCTTCCTTAATTGCTTGAACGTATTTACAAACATATTACCTTTTTTCAAATGCAGTTCTTCATTGTCCTGTCCTGCCTCATATCTGTCTCAGTAAACTTCAGCACGTTTCTCGTCATTGGAAAGACATCTCCAGTCACTTATCAGGTTCTGGGACATCTAAAAACATGCCTAGTGTTAGCATTTGGGTATCTTTTGCTGAAAGACGCTTTTGACTGGCGCAACATTCTTGGTATTGTGGTCGCCGTGGTTGGGATGGTTCTTTATTCTTATTACTGCACACTCGAAACCCAGCAGAAGGCTACAGAAACATCAACTCAATTGCCCCAGGTAAAGAATTCACCTTCTCTTTTTGCCACAAAGTGGAATTCAACTTCATTAGTTCATAATGAAGAGTTGAATTGATGTTGTGGTTGGGGTGGTTCCTTGTCCCAGATGAATGAAAGCGAGAAGGATCCGCTGATTAGTGCGGAAAACGGGAGCGGATTGTTAATAGACAATGGAGTGGCAAAGGCAGATCCTGTGTGGAACTCGAACAAAGATTTTTAAGCGTAAAAGCTGGAGCTGGTTCTCTGAAATCTGCTTTTATCAGTTAGGTTTATGTCTAACTCTTTTTTTTTTTTTGTATCAGATATTCCCACTTGTCAAATTTTTAAATCTCTCGTAGGGAGTAAGAGGAGGAAAACAAAATTTAAATAGCTTCCGTTTCAAAGGAATGGGAAGAGGAGGGAACACTTTTTTGTTGATCCATTTTATATACATATTACCAATTTTGGCTTTATAGATATAATTTTTGTTTGTTGTCTGGTTTCTACTTTCTACTTCTTTTTTTCTGGTTTCTACTTTCTACTTTCTACTTCTATGCATAATAAACTATGAGCAATTTAAGTTCTGTAAGGAGGGTTTTTTTTTCTACTTTTTTGGTGCAACGTTTGTAACGTTGTCTTGTCGTTTGACGTAAAGTTGAAATATGTATATACGGCGATATAGTTAGTCATTTGATTATCAAAGTTGAAATATGTGCAGCGTTTGTAACTTTGTATTGTCGTTTGACTATCACAAATGATTAAACTTTGTATTGTCCTTTTCATGAATTACTTGTTTAGTAAACAATGTAGTTATTCATTTGATTATCAAAGCACCAGCAAATTCCCCCCCCCCCCAAATCCATGAAAATGTAGTACTTTATATGATTTGCAGATTAATGACCCTAACCACTATAACTCTAGCCTGAGTATAACTCTTAACACAATATTGCATCTGCTTTCAGCTCAGTTTGCAAGTCCACAAAGTATACATAACGTCATAAAACTAACTAAGAAAATTAAGAAACCTAATGTATTTCTACCAATTTTTGTTACAACATGGTTTTAAAGGTATTAATTGTTCATCATCCTTAACGGAATCTATTATCAACCACGAGCGCATTAAGTAAAAAACCTTGGTGAAGTTATAATCAAGACATTCATTCAGTTTTTTTGGTATGAAAATTTATTTAGCTATTAATTATCCTCTGTTTTTCCTTTTTTTTAAAAAAATGTTTATTTCATTGATATCTTGATTTAGTGATGTATGATGGCTAAATTTTCCATATATTCCACTGTGATATTCATTTGCTGATCAAATCGCGTTTTCGGATGGAGTTAAAGCAAATAGATTAAATAAAAATATATAGAATATTGATCAGTAAATCAATTTTTACATTTTTTTCCTTTTTCAGATTTGTACATTTTGTTGGGTTCACCTTGAGTTACTGCAATTTTCAGATTATATCTCTCTGTTATACAGTTAATTCTTATATACTATAATAAATCTTGAAATATTCTAATGTGACTTATTTGATAAAAATTAACGAGAGGCACAATAAAATCCACAACGGTACTAATTTGATTTTTTCCTTTTTCTTCCATATCTGAACTTCTCGTTAAAAAGGAAAAAAGGAAAACATGACAGTATATATATATTTGTTCTTTGAGACTTGACACCTTCATCGTAAAAAGCTTGGTGTCTAGGGTTATCAGAAGAATCAGATTGTTGACCTATTGCGATGGCTATGTACTTCGAAAAGTTTCTCGGTAAAGGTTCTTATGGTTCCGTGAGTTTATTCAGAGGAGAACGCGACGGGAAGACAGTTTTGACCGCCCTGAAAACCTCCGAAGATGATCACGCGGAGGCTCTCTTCAGAGAGTTTAAAATCCTGTCTGAATTCAAAGGATGTTCGAGAATCGTCCAGTGCTATTGGGACAGTGTGCACGAAGAGATGTTCGTCAACTACGCACGTGACTCAGAGTACACGATCGCAATGGAGTACGCAGCTGGAGGAAGCTTGAAGAGTTTCATGAAGAGCTTTAAAGACAACAAGTTGCCTGATTATATCATCAGGAAGTTTACTCTTATGCTTCTCGAAGGTTTAGCCACGATCCACGGACACGGCTATGTCCACTGCGATCTCAAACCAGACAACATCCTCGTTTTTCCGAGCTGTGTCAGCAAGAACGGCTGCCGGAGAACCTCTTACGAGTTGAAGATTTCTGATTTCGGATTGTCGAGAAGAGATGGCGACAATAGCTGGTGGCCTCGCCGTCGGTATGCCGGAACACCGATCTATATGTCGCCGGAATCGGTTTCTCACGGCGAGACAGGGAAAGGGCTCGATCTGTGGTCGTTGGGATGTGTTGTGTTGGAGATGTACACTGGAAAGAAACCTTGGTGGCATACAAACTATGACTTGAAGAATCTCAAGAAGTGTTACGAGCCACTGATTCCGAGTGATCTTCCTTTTGATGCAAAGCTCTTTCTCATGACTTGCTTCGCGCCTGACCCACATGAGAGAGAAGACGCATCGACATTGTTGAGGCATCGCTTCTTGGGTGGAGACTTTGTTAAGATCACAGAGCTTCCTGTGAACGCTGATAACCAGAGAAAAATCACTCTCGAAGTGAAGAAGTATTTTAGACAAAAGCTTACGGAGATTAAGAGTATTCGTGTAGCTGAAGTCATGCCTAGCAGGACTATCAAGGCCTAATATTTCTTTTGTTCAATACCCTCTGTTCTTTCTCCATTCATCTAGTTTTATTAAGGGTTTTTTTTTAGTAGAATTATGCATTAGTTTTTGGTCCATGTGTATTTTGACTTTGTCTATAAATTCTAACGAAACATTTTGAGAAGTCATGTTACTATAATTATTTTGAGAAGTCATGTTACTATAATGTATGTGTACAAACTCCTTTGAAGATTATTTCTTTCGTTTACAAAAAGATTATCTAGATCACACTTCAGTTCTTGAACGTTTCCTTTGTTTTTCATAGCTTAACTTCGACATAACAGATTCAAGCCTTGTTTTTTCTGTTCTCTGCTTTTCTTTGCGCTCAATTTACTGATTTATCGAGTCCTAATTGAGATACCTAAAAAAGTTACCTAAAAAAGTTCCTCCTATGTATCATTGTTATCGTGGATATAAGTTTTAGCGGTGTTAAATTTAGTATAAATATAACACAGCCTAACACATAGGGTCAATTAGTTTTTATTAAAACATTATTGACACATTGAGTATATTCCTGCAGTTCAAAAGGAGAAGATTCAAAATACTTGATTTACAAGAGAAAGTCTTTGTCACACATGGTTGAAACATTAAACGAAAAGCAAAATTTTTTTAAATGATTTCATGCATCATACTGAACCAGGTCAAAGCACCATCCATAATTACCCGTCAAAGCCCACACCATAATCCATGATTGCAAAAAAAAAAAAAAACCACATGATTATCATAGCATAAATCTAACGAATATCTACAACAATCAGCTATTCCCATAATTCTCCAAAGTGCGAACAAGATCATTGAAACCCATGTCTAACTCGCATTTGAGTTTCAGATTCGTTTATATAAATAAATAAAAGGAAGAAACGTTAACAATTAGCACCAGTGGTCTAGTGGTAGAATAGTACCCTGCCACGGTACAGACCCGGGTTCGATTCCCGGCTGGTGCATACATGATGAGCAATGATGAAAGTATCTTGAGCTGTGGTGATGAATCTTCGGATATGATATAAACCTCGCTTCTTCTGAGCTCACCTTTGTTTCTTTTTTTTTTGTCAACAATTTTTTCATAGCTTCAAAATAATTAAATACAATCGATTTTAATTGTATTGTGAGGTTTTTATGTGGCTTTCCTCGACTGAAAAAGTGTAAAAAGATATCTCAACATAAATATCGTGCAAAGTGTTACATAAGTATTCGATACAAAACTTTGAATTCTCCAAAACTACTGAAGCACCTGAGAGATTACACAAACATAAAGTTTTTCAATTTACTTATTAGTGAGTGATTCTCAATTCAAATACATTAACAAAATGGCTAGCCAGAGAGTCTCAAGCACTGATGTTCTCGACACTCGCGCTTTTATCTACTCTCTTGAATATTCCTGCAATCACCTGGTGTTTCAAATGCCATGAAACACACAACTTAGAAGATGAAGGAGAAGAGGAAACATCAAGCTATAACGGGTTTACGGAAGCTAGAAAATACCTTTCCAGGTCCCAATTCATAGCTGCTTTTAAGTCCTTTGGACAAGAGTGTCTTTACTGTTGTCTCCCACTGGACTGGAGATGTCACCTGCGGTTTCAACACTCGAGTGTCTTTGTTTTTATCTTTGCGCGCCACAAAACAAGTAATACATATAGTTCTACTGAGTAATTGATTTGTTTACCTGGCGTGCAAGTATCTTCTTGATCGTGTCTGGATCTGCATGAGGCTGTGCATCGACATTAGAGATCACTGGGATCCTCGGACTTCTGATCTCCGTTGCTGCCAATGCAGCTTCTAATCTCGACACTGCTGGTTCCATGAAACTTGTGTGGAATGCACCTGCAACAGCTAGACGAACCTACAAGAGCCAACCAACAACAATTCATGTTTCTCTTAGACTCTCAAGTAAGACACAGCTTAACACAAGATAGTGGAATTAGAGAGAGAGAGAGAGCATACAGTCAGTCGAGCCTTGAAAGACTTAGCTTTGGCTTCAACAGCTTCGATTCCTTTAAGACCTCCAGATACTGCATAATTACCCTGTAATAACAAACCCCGTAATGGAATGTGAAAAGGATTATATACAAGACTAGAATGCAGAAGACTCATGGAGGACATATATACCGGACATAAGTAATTTGCGATCTGGACTTTGTCAGCTTCATCTACTTCTTGATTTGCTGCATCACACAAGTGCTGAACCTTTTCCGAGTCCAATCCTATGATACTAACCATAGCGCTCTTAGCTGCATCTGCAGCAGCCTAAAATGACATTTCATTAAAAAACTATGTGTCATTAAACAGCTTCTCCTTTAAGTTTACAGGGGAAAAAAGAACATAAAATCCTAACCTGCATGGCTTCTCCTCTTAGTTTTACAAGCTTTAGCCCATCCTCGAAACTTGAAAGTAAAAACAATAAAAGAGAAGAAAAAACAAACAAGCATTAAGGTTAAGGTTCACACAGATATAAATGAAAAGGAGTAAAACGTTTAAGATAACATTTGAAATTCTGTGCCACCATCTTTTAATTAATGATAATAATTTCGGCTGTTAACAAACCGAAAACTACAAGAAAAGCGGATTTTGAGTGATTTATTTACAAGCAAACAGATGGATCAAGTAGTAACCTCAAAGAATTAGTGTTGTATGATTAACTAACCTGAAGGCTCCAGCAAATGCAAGAGCAGTGTACTCTCCCAAACTGAGACCGCAAGTCACATCAACAGAGTTAATTATTTGTTCACCGCCTTCACGAACACGGAGTAATTCAACTGCTGCTAGGCTTGTGACGTAAATAGCAGGCTGAGAAAACGACAAGCCAAGAACTTAGACACCGTTCCAAAGTATTCGATTCTCCTATATCTAGGAGACAAAAGAAAGAAGATCATGAGATCTTAACGTGTCTCAAACCAAAGATACCTGGCTTATGACTGTGGAATCAAGCTTCTCTTTTGGTCCATTAACACAAATGTCAAGAAGATCATACCTGAAAAAAGCCACCTTTATGGTTATATTCATTTACTAAATGAAGAAAAAACAAACAAATGGTTTCAAGCAAAGGAAGATACCCCAAGATATCATTAGCTTTCTTATACAACTCTTCAGCTGCTGCAACACTCTGAGCCTCTTTCCCCATCCCTACTGCTTGTGCTCCCTGAGATATATATATATATTGCAAAATCATTACACTACAATTTTCAGGATTACAAGTGTCTGATTTTCTTCGCATTTTATCTTAATTGAAACGAATTTCTGAGGTATTTACAAGCAAAGCAATGTGACATCATGCTTAGGACCTCACATTGCAATTACAATCAGACTAATCTGTAAATGTGGAACCTTGGACAAGATTTTCAATTTTGGCATTGCAAAAATTCTAAAGTCTGTGCCTTTCGAAATTTCCTAAACTGAGTCGAAATCAATATACATTTTCATATCAGAATCCACATTATCAATGATCTGAAAACCCAGAATTATGATTAGTATTCGGATATTACCTGACCGGGAAACAGAAAAGCAGAGGTGGGTTTGTAATCGGCGAACAAAGTGTCGTTGACGGTAGTCTGAGATCCAGCGGAGACGCTCATGGAAACCCTAGATCGGCTGATATTCTTGACGGGTAAGCAGAGGGAGGAGGCATTTCTGGAGGAGGAGCAGAGGTTGTTGAGAGATACGGAAGGGAGGAGCAAGGAAGAGGCGGCGGCGGCCATGGCGGTGGCGGCGGCGGAGGAGGGAAGAGTGCGCAGGATAAGAGAAAGAGCCGGAGGAGTGCGTAGGATAGTACGGTGAAGCAGTGAGCGCATTCAGAGAAGAGAAAGGAGTATCCTTTTTTAAAAATGCTTTAAGACGGAGTTAACGAAGATGATGGTAGATGAAGGAAGTTGAGAGTATCAAACCCAACCGTTTCTGTACCCAAAAAATATATATATATATATTTTCCTTGCAGGAAATGTTTTTTTCTTAAAAGTATGTACGAAAATCTGAATATTGTTGACAAAAATTATTGAATTAGATCAATTTTCCGCGACTAATTATAAAACGTTAAATTTAGTAGATTAGCTATGTGTTTTAATATATAGCTAAATCACTTATACAAACATGAAAACGTAAATTTTTAATATTTTTGAATACTCTTTGAATGGTAAAAATAGAGTAATTATGTTTTTAAAACGTGATTCCTGAAGAAGTGATAGACGCTCGCAGCTGAAATTACATGCTTTCTCTAACATGAGAGGCATTTCCACACACTTTTTCACATAAACATATGTTAGTTAATACTCTGACCATGGGATTTTTTTTTTTTTTTTTTTTGGTTCAAAAGCCATGGATTATTTATAATTTGAAACCAAGTTAGAGAAAGGTGTCTTTTTGTCTTGTTGTCTTGCTCCTTCCTATTTTCTGTCATTCATTTTGGTAATGCAAAAAAGAACTAATTAAATAGGGACTGTGAAATATCAAGTAAATTTGTACATACAAGTATTCAGTGTTGCTTGCAGGAACCAACTATCTAATTAGCATCAGCTTACTTGAGGATGGTATAGAGGCCTCCATTATTTATTTGGAGAATCTTTATTATGCAAGTAAATTCCTCATCTGCTGGATACATTGCATGTGATCAATGAATCTTCCTCAAAAGGGAAATTTCAGTGATACTAAGTAATATGTGGAGAGAAACAGAATAAAGTATGTCGAATCTCACTTCTTCTTATTCTTTTTACACAAATTAAGTTTTGGTTTTGGTTGCACATGCATGATTCTTAGCATAAGTTTTAGCAAGAGGACAGATGTATATAATCGAGTTGGGAAAGCTTATAATTGCGTCATACATGATATCAAACAATAATTGTGATTAATTCCTTATTCCGCTAAATGTTTTATTTTTTGTTAAACGGTTTGGTTCCGCTAAATGTTGTGTAAAAACCTTAGTTTTTGTTTGTGCAGCTTTAGTTGTTTGTTGAGGTTTAGTTTGGAATATGCTATTTAATTTGTTTTGCCGAGGTTTAGTTTAGTTTGGAATTGCTAACGTGCTTTTGTTAGTTTCTCTGCTTTCTATCACACAGAGTTGCAATTGGTCAAGATCAAGTTAAGTGGTTTTTGTTTGGTTTAGATGGGTTTAGTGTTTTTTACCCGGACTAAACACGTTTTAATTGTTTTAGTTATATAAAAAAAAAAATCATTGTGATTTGTGAAAGTCGATAGAAGAAGGATGATTATCAAATTGCAACACAAGATTTAATAGGTAAATTTTCCAATCGGAAAAATCGATACACTCTATTACGAGGAAACCAAAAGATGAACCACTCTCAGTAGAGCAGTTTGAATTGTCCATCTTTTTAACCACATCACATATCAAAGACCCACAAAGCCTTTTTGATTGAAATAAAACAAACAAAAAAAAGACAACCCCATAAATCTTTAGATCCAACGGCAGAAGATTTAGCATCTTGGAAGATCCAATGGTGGAGCTTGCACAGACTGTAGCTGTCCTCGTCCGTTCTCAACCAAGAAAACCATCGCCAAACCCCATCCCAAATGTGAATCAATGTGACAGTGCATAAACCATGCTCCTGCATTACACAAAAACATATTATATGTCAACAATATTCGTTTTTGATTTTGAGGTTACATACTTATATCGCTTAGTTTAAGATTAATTAAATTAATTACCTGGATTATCAGCCACAAACCGGATTGCAACCCAACCACCTGGAGGTGTACCAATGGTGTTCCTCTCCGGTGGGTCAAACAGGTTAAACCTAGCCGGGTCAGTTCTCGGGTTAAAGTTCCCAAAACCCGACCCAACAACGTAGAATTGGTACCCGTGTAGATGCATAGGATGATTCTCAGGCGTGACAATGCTCGTGTCTTGAAACACAATCTGAACATTAGCTTTGTACTTAAGCTTGTAAACTTTGGTTCCCTTTACGGGTTGCCATAGCCCGCGACTTACGTTACCAGTGTAATCAAATTGCACCGGTGGAAAAGGCGGGAAATCCGTCGTGAAGATTCCAGGCATGCCTTGGTAATAAGCCTGCATGATGGAGTTTCTTCGTGGAAGCACAAAGGACTGATTATTAATGCTGGCCGCGAACCGGGTTCCATTAGGACCCTGGCAACGCGGACTGTTCGGGTTGGTGCAGTTGATTAGCCCTAGCCCTACCGTGAGAAAGAGGTTATCATCGACCTGGAGCGGTACTGGAGCTCGTTTCCAGTACCGCAGACGGTTGGTGAAAGCGGTTGCGGTTGCGGTATCGTTGAACCCTGGAAGAACCGGGAAAACTGGAGCGATCTGGCCACGGCCGCGGCCTCGTCGAGTGGGAGCGTTGACGTACTCCAAGATAGCGGTCGTTGTTGTGTTGTCGAACGGGGCGTTTGCGCTATTGTAGGCGCGGGCTGCCATGTAGTAGCGGCCGGGACGCTGGTTTGCGGTGAGGAGGACGTTAGTGGTTTGGCCAGGACCAATCATGATGACACTTGTGGTGAATGGTTTGGTGTAGGCGGAATCGGTTTCCACAACTGTGAGCTGGTGGTTAGCGACCGAGAAGAAGAGCTCTTGGTTCAACGCAGCGTTGATAACACGGAGCTGGACCGTCTCACCAGGGAAAATAGGGAAACGGGTGGTCTCGGCCCGAGAGCACCGGTAGAGATCACCTGGTTGACCGTTGATTGTATAAGCGTCTGAGACATTAGGTGCTGCTCCTGTGAACTGTGCTAGCCTCAAAACGTCCATTGGGTTTCTGTCCCACCATTCCCCTGTTTCCCATCGCAAATATGTTTAAAGTTTTATGTTTGATCATAAAAATTAGAATATAAAGTGATCAAAGGTTATGGTTTCTTACCGAGAAGAATTGGAATGTCACGTTTGGGCATAGAGAAGGGATAAGGAGAACCGAGACGAGGGTAAATGATGAGAGCACCGTAGACAGTGGCTCTGAGCCATTTGCTATGAGCGTGCCACCAAAGTGTACCTTCTTGACCCTCAATTGTGAATCTGTAAGTGTAGCTTTGACCTGGACGGATCGGGCACTGTGTTATGTACTCTGGACCATCAGCCCACGGATTCCTCAGCTGTCTGATTCCATGCCTGTCTCCCAAAAAACAGAGCAAAACAGAGTATAAAAACAGAACAGAACAGAACAGAACATTGTTTGTTGATTTTGGTGATAGTGTCTATTTAATTACCAGTGGATGCTAATGTTGTAACGAGCTCTGTTAATGACAGTGATTGCGAGCGAGTCACCGTTCCTGACCTCGAGATTTGGACCGGGGAACTGACCGTTCACGGTGATGCTTTGGTGAGTCCTGCACAGCCTCTTCACTGGTTTTGGCTGGATCTAGAGTCATCCACAAAGAGAAAAACAAACAAAAAAATCGCCGATTAAACTTACATCAAGCACATTCATTCATTAACGCAAAGAACATACAAAGAAGCTATAATGTAATGAGATTAGTTAGCTTACCACGAATTCACGGACGTGAAGCTCAGCGGAAGCAAATAAAGCGAAGTAAGCAAGAAGGGCGATCAAGGATACAAAAAAGAATCGACTGAGAGACTCCATTAATGCTGTATTGTGAAGCTATGTGTTGGAGATGTGTTGTGTGAGTTTAGGGGAAGGAGATGAGTGGTATTTATATTTGCACCAGGCGGGGAAACAACAGAGCTTTTTGTGAATTCGTTAGCAATTTGTCAAAATTTTATAGTATTTTTTTGACTAAAGTGGACCTATCATTTGGTTTGGAGTCAGCAGGAGGGAGAAAAACAACACAATGGGTTTAGTTGATTTGGTCTACCCACTGGACTTATTTGGTACTAGGATGCTCTAATTATTATCAAAGATTCTTTTTAGTTTGTTTGCTGTAATTATATACATATGACTATGGATTAAGTTGGGGAATCGCCATGCAATATGCATTTGTGTCATATGACTCCGTCAAAATTTTGAAAGTAATTTAGACTTAAAACATAAACAAAATTCTCCTTTAAGTTTTAGGGTTACTGCTGCCTCCAATTAGTGACTAATCAAATGGAAGAAGTTCGTCCAAAAGAAAAAGTTAAAGAAGATACGTAGGTTAATGTTCTTCTCACTCTCGCATTTGTCAAAAGTTAATTAGAAAAGAAAAACACATATAACGAACTGCGTAGTTGTTAGCTTAACTATATTGACTCCAAGGGATCATAGCGGCTTGTATGATTTAATCCAAGTCTTCATGTTCATTTTTTTCCCTACTACTTCTATTGATTTTCATTTTTTTAGTGACTTCCGTGTACGTAGTTTTTACTATCTTTAGTGTTCTAACAATCAGTGTAAAACAAAGTGGCTCTTGCTCTAGATTTCCTTAAGAAAATTGGCAACCCTAATTCGAGTCCACATGAAAGGAGGATTGTTCTTGACGAGAATATACTAAAAGTTGTCTCCGAGCCCACAGAAACTAGGACATAGACTCGCGTATGTGACAAAAAAAAAAAAAGAAAAAAAAGAGTTGACAGTCGTTTTGGCAACACTTACATACTAGGCGTTTGTATAGGTAGAGCTTAGATGCCAATATCTCTAAACTGTGAAGATTAATTTATTAGACGTTATAAGATTAATTTAGATGGATCTACGTATTGGGCAGATTTAGGTGGTTGTTATCAATTATCATTTAGTTCACAATTTTTATTGTTTTTTCTTCGAGTTTAATTTGTTACTCTCCAGTGATGTAGAATACAAATTTCCAAATTTAATTCCATTCATGGTTATCAAATATGATCATGTATTGTTTAATTTAAACTGAAATTGATTGGATGAATATCTTTATATTGATATCCAATATTATTCATAATATGTTTAAACTCATGATCAATATAACCTGTTGATCAAATTCAGATTTTAATGC